AGTTTTTCTCCTTTATTAGAAGCAAAATTTTCAGAGGGCTGATTTTCCTTGTTTTTAAATTGGAAAGTATGGTTTATGAGCCACACTTTACTTATTGAACAGCTGTTTACTGAGTGACTGCTATGTGCCCAGGGCAGTTTAAGGCTCATAAGGTATATTAGTGAACAAATAAGGATCCAACCTCATCCCAACAGGCAGGGGCAGCATACATTATAAATAAATTTAAGTAATAAATGAGTAAACTGTGCAGCATATTAAAGTGTGATAAAACTTTAGAAATAAGAAAAAGTTAGGGAAGAGGGACAGGGAGGGGAACACCACACTGGCAGCTATAAAGTCTTAAGAGTTTTATGGAGGTTATTGAAATTTGGGACTTGTGTCCCATTTAAATCTCTATAACTTTCTATATAATAAATTTATGAGTATAATCAAAATGAACAGGTGAAATCAGTAAAAATGGTGGAGTAAGTCCCTCTAAAAATTCTCTCCTCCACAAAAGCAATGAGAATACTGTAAAAAATAGAATCAACTTTTTTGAACATGCTTCATGAACAGTGAAACAATCATGTCACTTCTTTCAGTATGTTGGTAGTCACCATACATCTCTTAATTGTTTATACACAGACGGCAAGAATGTAGTTGTGTTGCTTCCTTGTCTCCCAGTGATAAACCCATGTGACATAAAAAAAAAAGGCGGGGGACACCTGGGTGGCTCAGTTGGTTGAGCGTCCAACTTCAACTCAGGTCATGATTTCATGGTTCATGAGTTCAAGCCCCACGTCAGGCCCTGTGCTGACAGCTCAGAGCCTGGAACCTGCTTTGGATTCAGTGTCTCCCTCTTTCTCTGCCCCTCCCCTGCTCATGCTCTGTTTCTGTCTCTCAAAAATGAATAAACGTTAAAAAAATTAAAAAAAAAAGATAACAGAATTGGTCAACAAAATGAAAGTGCAGCAAAGAAATGAAAAGTGATAAGGCAGGAAGTGAAATTCAATTGAACATATATGGAGTCATACAAGAAATGGCTGATTGTGGGAATGTTAGTACTGCTATCATGAGAGAATATAGATACACAGCCAGAGGAATTTAGTGAAGGCTACTTTATCTACATAAAGGAGGAAAATGCTTGTGACAAAAGGGAAGAAGATGTTCCAAAGGAACTTATGCCAGCAAAAAGTCCTTCACATTCAAGGAATTCTTAGAGATAAATTTAATGAGATTGTACAATACAAAGAAGAGAATGTTGGAAGCTGATCCAAACTTAAAAAGGTATATGACAATTCATCAAAACATAGTGAAGATACTTGTTCCATATTTTAGTAAAAGAGGCAAGCATTGTTCAAATTACTTTTGGTATGTTTTTTGCAAGAAAAACAATTCTCAATTTCTCTAAATGCTTTAGATTACAAAGTAGTAAATAAATATTAGTTTAGTATGTTTTGATTTCCCTCTACATTTATAACTGACAGTAAGAAAGTTTTTGATGCTTTGACAAAAAAATTTAAAGGTCACAGAACAATGGTAGTTTCTCCCACTGACTATTAAGGTCTCTTTGGTTTCAACTTGCAATGTCATTTTAATATTCTGGCAGTACTGTGAAAAATGGTTTCTTTTTAAAAATTTTTTAGGATTTCATATATATATATAAATTTAGCACAAAATTATGAGAAGATAGCATTTCAAATCAAATCAACAGTAAAAGGATAGGTGCTTCAGAAAAGGAAGCTGAGAGGGGCGCCTGGGTGTCTCAGTCGGTTGAGGGTCTGATTTCAGCTCAGGTCATGATCTCACAGCTCGTGAGTTCGAGCCCTGCATTGGGCTCTCTATGCTGACAGCTCGGAGCCTGGAGCCTACTTCGTACTCTGTGTCTCCCTCTCTCTCTGCCCCTAACCCACTCAAATTCTGTCTCTCTCAAAAATAAATAAACATTAAAAAGAAAAGAAAACTGAGAAAACTTGGCCATGGTCAACAGCTAGTATGTGGAAAAACCAGGATATGAATACAGGGATGCTAACTCTACGGAATGTGCCCTTAACTAGTATAGTATGTTGACTTCATGTAGAATATATTCAATATACAGTTTCTTCCATAGGGGTTTTGAATTCATAAAAATTTAAAATTTTGTAAATCAGGAAAGAACATATATGAAATTAAGTGGCAAAGTACAGACTGGGAAAACGAAGGTATTGCAACACCTGACACAATAAAGGTATTAATATACACTAAAGGGAGTAAAATTGATACATCCTGGCAATTTGGCAGTTTGATGGTGATTTCAGGATATTATTCTAAGGAAATAATCAAATTGGTATGGAAGGATATATGTGTGAGGGTGTTTATTATAATACTTGTAGTTTTCAATATCAAAATTTTGTAGACAACCTTAATATCCATCTACAGAGTTTTTGTTTTGTTTTAGTGTAACCTCTATGCCTGATGTGGGGCTTGAACTCATGACCGTGAGATTAAATGTTGCATGCTCTACTGACTGAGCCAGCCAGGTGCCCCAGTAGAGGGTTTTAAATGAGAAGTTAGGAAAATTTCTTAAAATGTAACAAAATGCAGCTAACAAAAATAACAGTTAAAATGAGTATGCCCCTTGCCCCAGTGACCCATCATTTCCACCTCTAGTCTCTCCTTTTCAAATGTATTTTCTACACAGATGCCAAAGGCAGATCTAATCATGTCACTCCCTTGCTTGACACCCTCATGGCTTGGCAATGCAAAATCCTAAAACAAGCTTCTAAGGCTGGAGTATCTTCTCTCTCTTCCCTTAATAGTCCAGTAACACAGGACTCAACAGGTTTCTTGGCTGGACTTTGTGCCCAGTTATTCTGCCTAAGGATTTAGCATTCCATTGAGCCCCACTGGTTAGTATCACCCTGCTCTTTTAACAATACCCTTCGCTACTCCTTTGGAGTTCTTACACAAATGTTATTAAATATTGTGTATGCAATTATTTAATATACTCTCTCCCATGAGACTTTAAATTCCAAGAGAGCAAAAATTATCTGTTTAGCCAACATTTTCCCCATTGTGCCTAGTATAATGCCTGACATGGTTGCTTGATGCATTCATTGAATGAATGAATGAAAAGCAAGCTACAAAATAAACAGTGTGAGTCCAATTTGGTAAAGGAGGGGCCAAACCAAGAATAGCCCCAGCAGGTACATGCTGGCCAGGCTCTTCCCTGAGAAGGGGAATGTGCTCCTCTGATAGGTGGAATGAGGGGGCAGGCTGCACAAGGGGGTGGGAGCTTGCTGGGAAGAACAGAGCTGGATGAGAGTGGTAGCCTCAGGGGCTCCTACCCTTCCACCTCCCTGGACAGGAAGGAGCTGCCACAAGAGAGAGGTAGGTCTCCTGTGGACCACCCAAGGTACAGGCATCGGAGTCACAAGATGAGGGCTGCCTGGGAGGCTCAGCTGGGGTATTAGACACAGAGTTATGGGGAGATAGGCCTTGGGAAACGCACAGCCCCAGAGGGAGGGTTCAAGGCCAAGGCCTGGAGTTTCCCAGCCAGGGCAGCATGGAGGAGCATTGGGAGAATGAATGCCACTTCACTTGAGACCATGCTTGAGGTCAACTCCTGCTGGGGGAGGGAGATGGGTCTATAAGCTCAGGAGATCTCTCACCAGGTACTTGTTCTTAAAGACTGCACCCTAGCTGTGTGGCAATTGGAGGCAGTGTGTTGGGTGAACGAGTAGCTGTGCTGCTGTGTCTTTTGTCAAAAGCTTGACCTGGCTGGTTTATCAGCCATCTCAAGGCTTTGTCTTTGACGATGTCAAATTCTTCTGCCTACCTGGTTCCTGAAGGTGGATTCCCATCCTCCATCCCAGAAGATGCCAGGCCAGGCTTTGCACACCACTGCCCCCTCTCCCAGTAGCGTCCTTATTTCCCTGCTTATCTCCATATTTAATGTTTGTCACTGTGAGACTCACCACTCCTACTTGACACATGATCTCCCTGGCTTCCAGCCAAGAGCCCTGAAGTCCTAGAAGAACCTTCTCTGTCATCCCTCTGGAGCCCAATAAACACATTCTGAAGGAATGAATACATCCATTTATTAAACTTTCCCATGTGCAAGATCTTCTTTGATGGGGTGTCATGGAGGCCCTTAAGGGAGGAGCACTGGGGCAGAGACCTGCATAAGGCTTAGGAGCAGGCTTAAAGTCTAAGCTTTGAGTTGGGTGAAAGGGAGCTGCTGAAGATTTCAGAGAGGACATAACTGGCTTTAACCTTGTACAATCTTGGAGATGACACAGCAGATGGGGAATCAGGCTGGAGGCGATGCAGAAGCATTGAATACGGTATGGTGGTGGTGATTTAATGTTGAGAACATGTAGGTTCTGAGCCAAAGAAAGTGATGGCACTGTGTAGTTTGAGACTGGGTTGGAGGGAGGGCAGAGCTCACACTTTGGGTATGGAGGGAGAGGAGGAAAATACAAGTATGTGAGTGAGAAGATGCTTAGCTGCTGCTTCATTCTTGGGGCAGGTGACCAAAGAGGATAGCCATTACTCCAATGCCTTGTTTGGGGAGGAGCCTCCACCACCCTCCAGAGGTTTTAGTTTTGAATCCAGGCTGAAGCCAGAGAAAAACAAGGAGCAAAAGGGGGGGTGGGGGGAGCCAAGAAAAAAAAAGCAACAACAAAAAACTGAAGTAAAGTCCATGGGGTGGGGAGCTAGAAGGCCCCCTTCAAGTAGCTCAGGCCTGGCAGCTTGTGCTGGGCTTGTGGGATTCCCTCTCACAGAGGATGAACAACTCGGGAAGCAAGCCCGAGCACGCACAGGGCTTGTGGGTCTGTGGGGCTGGGCCACCAGGGTCAACCCACCACCCCCACTCCAAGCAGACACAGGGGCGTGCTGTCTTTTTCTGAGCATGTCAGCTCAGGTCAGGAGTATGCAGACCCCACTGGTCCAGGGAACATGTCTTCACCCTGGGCGCCGCCTAGTGGGACCTGTGCAGGCAAGGTCCTGCTGGCCCGAGGCTGCCCCCTGGTGCCGCCTCACTCCTCCCAAGGGCTCATGTCAGTGTCAATGGCCACGCAGTTGTACGCCGCATAGCGGAGCTTCTCCTCGCACACCTTGGCACTGAGGGAGACGGAGACTTGGTCAGCACCAGGTGCAGAGGTCCTTCCGTCACTACGAGGGTCAGTGTGGTCTGTGCGCGGGGTGATGGGTGATGGGGTTCCAGTTTGTGCACTTCAGTACTGGAAGTCCTCCTCCTTCCTAGGATACCACTCCTTCCCCCACTCCCCACTCTCTAGGTTTGAGCCTAAGAAACCCACCTGGCATAATGTGGTAGGAAGAGGGTGCTTGAACAAGTTGAAGACTCAGGCAGCGCATCTGTAGTTTCGTAGCTGGGAGCGTGGAGGGGCCACAGATTAGAAAGAATTGTAGGGGCACAGGGTAGGGGTCTGACATGTGAGTATGTGTGGGGGGAAGAGGGCAAAGGCCAGCAACAGACCCTTTGGACCCCTACCCCTGCCACCTGCACTCACCCCAGTTTGTCTGGGTAGATATAGATCCGTGCTGGCAGACGGCTGCGGCCAGTGACAAAGCGCAGGAAGCGGCTCCGGTCCTCTGGATGGAGAAGGAAATCAGTGCCTGCACTAATGGTGGGGGAAGTTCTACAATTTCTACCCTGTTTCTGTATCCCACAAGTGGAGTCTGAACCCAGGCATCACTCTCCCCTCTTCCACTGACCGTTGGTGAAGTTGTTCAGTGCTTCCCAAAAATATTGCACTCGAGTGTCAGATGGCTCGAAGTCCTCAAACCGGGCTGGGGACAAGGTCAGAATTCATTCTTAGGTCCCAACCTACCTAGTCCTTAAGCCTCTATCCCTGTGTTGCCCTGCCCCACACTCACTGAGCTTTCGTAGAGCGTCCACAGTGACCTCTGGGTCCCCGCACACTTTCTTCTCCAATTCCTGCCAGGTCAGCAAGTCCAGCACAGCCTGTGGCACCACCTTTAGCAGTCCTGCCTGCATGGCTGCCACCTGGAGGAGGGAGAGGCCTGGCTAGGGAAGAGGGCACAACTCCCAAATCAGTGTGTGGTGGAGTCACTTGGCATCCACTCATAGAGATAATGGAGGATATGACATGATGTTTGTTTAGCACTAGGGGCCACCTAGTTCTAGTTCATTCCCACCAACAAGCAGGAATGTAGGGCAGAGGAATGGTAGGGGCCAGAGTTCTTGGGATTGGGTACTGGTAGCCTATTAGGCTAGGCTCTGATTATCAGGAGCTGCGCAAAGCTCTCTGTTCTCCTGGCCTCTGGGTGGTACCTGCTCCTTGCTCTCTTCTAGCCGTGTCTTCTGCACCAGTTGGATGAAACGGGAACGGTCTTCATATCCCACTATGATGCCTGCACCCCCGGGGATCAACTCTACTACTTGCTGGTCACTCAGTACAGTGGTGAATGTTAGTTCCTTCCCAAATTTGAACTCAAATGTCTCCTTGTCCATTCCTTCCATCACTTCCAAGAGCTTCACCTGGGGGTTGGAGAGAGGCAAAGAGGTCAGCCTTTCATTGTTGAGACAATGTTGTTTTCTCTCAAGATGCTCACAGGGAAGTAGGAGAGGCAGACAGGCAAGGCAGTCCCATGCAGGTAATGAGGGCAGTGAGGGGGTCAGTACAAGGGCTATGAAAGCATCAAGACAACACTTCCTTGGCTGCCAGGGAAGGTGTCCTGCAGGAAATGGCATCCAAGCTAAAACCTAAATGATGGCTGGTTGTTGGCTGGGCCACAAGGAAGTCAGGAGAGAGAACATCTTGAAAAAAGGTTGAAAGAGCAAAAGGCCTGTGGAATCTGTTTGGCTAGAGCCTGAATGTGAACTAAGTGGACAGGCATACAGAGGTCATATAAGGTTTGTCAGGTTCTGCATTTTACCCTAAGCCCAGAGCAGAGACACTGAAGGGTTTAAACAAGAGGAGGGAAATGAATTACTCTGGCTGCAGGAGATCAGATGGGTAAGAATGGACATAGGAACACCAACTTTGCAGTCACTGATTGTGTCAGAAAGGAAAGTGGCCTGAACGAGGAGGAGAGCGGTGAAATAGAAGTGGACAGATTCCAGAGGGAGATGTAACAGAATGTGGGAGGTGAGGAAAAAGGAGGAATGAAGGCTGACACTGAGGCCCTTGGTATGGGGAAGGGTGGGTAGTGGTGCTGTTCTGAGACAGGGACCCCTAGAGGGCAGTAGACTGGGAGGTGATGAACTCCCAGTGCTGAGCCTAAGGTTCCATCTGGGGCAGATGTCCTGCAGGCAGATGCATATATGACTCCAAACTTAGGAAAGAGGCTGGAGATGGAGGTAAGATTTTAGGGGTCACCAGAATAAAGAAAGTAGTTGAAGCCATGGGAACAGAAGGAGCACATGTGAGGTTAGAGAAGGTTCAAGACATCCTTTGGGAGCAGCAATCTTCAGGGGCTGCATAGAGTAAACACCAGGTCCAGGCCTTACTTACCAGCACAGAGTCCACAGCTGGGAAGTCCTTGCTCCAACTCACTTCCTCACCAGAGAGCTGCTTCCATACAAAACCAGGCAGAGCCAGGACCTATGGGACAAATAATCACTATGGTATTCTCACATTGGGCTGCCCAGGTTTGGGTGGTTCTTCTTCTTTCCAGAGGCCAGGCTCATCTGATGTGGGTACAGATTAGGCTACTCACCAGGAATTCCTTACCCCGAAGGGCAGCCCCCATCAGCTGTCCAATCCATTCATATTTGGCAAAGTCTCGGCAGGAGGGATTAGGCACATACATGTCCCGGGCCTCACCAGTGCCATTGCCCTGCCCCCAAGATAGAGCTGTCAGCATGGCATGGAATGGACCCTACTTTGTTGCCCCAGATTCTCCAAAGACTTGCCTGCACACTTTCCACCAGAGGCCCTGAATGATCCCTGACTGTAGAACAGCCCCTCCTTTCCTGTCTGCCCAGAGGCTGCCCCAGGCAACTCGGTCCCTCCTCTGCTCCCTCTCTAGTTCAGCACCTGGGAGGTTTGCAGAGATGAACAGCAGAAACAACTTGAGAAGTAGAGATAGGAGATTACCTGGTTGGCTGTGCGCACAAAGAAGGGCAGAGGCACAGGGGTGTCTGCTGAGCTAGGGCACAACTCTTCTGACATGTCTGCCAGGCTATCTCGGAAACCACCCCCTGAAATGACACAGATGCTCTCCACTGGGGAATTCAAGAGTCCCAGCCCCCATAAAGGGTTAATAAGCAGGTCTTCTATCTTGGTTAGCTCGTGACCCCAGAAGCCTCTACCACTCTGAAGGCTGGACCCTTATTATCCTTTGTCAGGGCCTTACCTTGGTCAATGATGCCTTCTGCAATGAATTTACACTCCCACCACTGGTCATAGCGCATGGGCCACCTGTAAGAAGGAGTGGATGCTGGGCCATCCATGCTGGGCCAGGGCTCAGGATGGTTCACAGGATACCAGCCAGAAGTAGGGGCTACGGAGGGGTAATGGTGAAGGGTTCCAGAAGCAGTGTGCAGGTATATATAGTTTATGTAACTCCAGCACAAATCCCTCAACCTCATGCCATACCTGTAGTCCAAGGGCTTTTCATACTTGTCAGAGGGCTTGAGGCCTTCATAAACCTGGGGGCAGGGGAAAAGGGAGGGAGTTATAGGAAAGTCTGTTTCAAGATCTGGCCCCACTCTAGACCAAAGACCTTACTCAGGTTCCTCTTGGTCCAGCCCCCAGGCCCTTTACTGACCCTCCCTTGGTCCGACCCCAAGTGGTCCAGACCTGGGTGAAGACTGCGTTCTTGCAGGCAGGGTCCCTTAAGGGGCAGGCACGGTGTTCCATGGCAAGGCGCCGGTTGATGTACAGGCGTGGCATGAAGCTGGGCTTGCTGCTTTCTGAGTCACGCAAGCACTGGGCCACTAGCCCTGGCCTTTGGCGTGATAGCAGCAGGAACTGCTTCACTTGCTGGTGAGGAGAGGTGGCCAGAGCAAGACTGGCAGGCAGTCAGTCTCTGTCCAGGACCCGGAACCTTCCTCTATGCCTGGACCCAATTCCATGGTTCTAGTCCATGCCTAGTTCATCCCCCCCACGACCCTCCCCTTCCTTGTTTCCCGTCTCTCCCTTAGTCCAGTCACCGGGGTTGGGGGGGCGGGTGCTTTCTAAAACAAAAAATCAAACTTTGTCATTACCTACTTAAAACCCTTCCAATGGCTTCACTGACCTGGGACATAGTCCTTGCTTCACAGCCTGGCCCATAATGCCCTCTGCTATCAGGGCCTGCTATTTGCCTCCCCACTCCCAGCCTCATCCCCAGGCCATACTCACATTTACCTGTATACTTCTCTTAAGTCATCTAGCAGCTAACAACTCCCAGGATGCATCTCTCATGCAACCTGCCTTGTGCACACTGTCACTTCTTCACCCTAGCTCTTGTATATTTCATATACTATCTGGGAGAACAGCATGCCTACCACTGAATTTTAACTATCTGTATCTTGCTTTTTTCCTACATTCCCAGAGCCCAGCAAAGGTCCAGGCCTAGAGTAGGTTTGAAGAACTCTGTGTAAAAGGGTGAATGCTTGCATGAACAGAAAGGAGGAGCCCACTGCTGAGACCAATACTAGGTGGGCCAGGCTCACCTTAATCTCACTGAAGGTGCCAAGCGTGTGATCCCAGGCAGGTACCAGGTGGTGTAGGACACTGTCTAGGATCTTTATGAATCTGGGGTGAGTGGATAAAGATAATGCAACTAAAGAAAGTAGCATGGATTTAAGACCCTCTCACTCCCCAACACATAAAGACAGGAGAAGGCAGGGCCCAGGGGCTGCCCTGACCCTTGAAATGGAACAGCTTACAGTACAGGGCCTTGAGAACCTCCTTCATACAGACATGTGAGGTTCAGGATGGGGGGAAAGGACGGGCCTGGCAGGCCCAGGACCACAGCCACCTCTGCAGAAGAACAGCTCTGCGGTACAGTACTTCAGGGTCAGTGCCTTCGAGGCGTGGGTATCGCACCAGACTGGTTGGCTGGAACAGGTCTGCATTTAACCCTAGTTCCCGCTGTCTAGATGACTTGATCTTGATCCCTCGAAGACGCACGTCAATCCCATCATCTGGGGGAAGGAGTCAGAGCAAAGTTACTTAGGGCACCTACTGCCTCTTTGGTTCTCAGAGCTGAGAATGGCTCTTTGATGCTCAGACTTTTGTCATCCATAGCCCGTAGAAACTTGGGACCTTTGTGAGCCCCTTCTACTCATCTGACTCTGATTATTATATTCTTTGCCGGTTCCTCCATCCATCACTGTAATACTGGGATGCCTGAGGGTCCCAACTCAGTTCCTCTTCCAGATGAGCCCAAAACCTCTATGGCTTTAAGGAAGGCATATACCTGGCGCCTCCCACCTGGCTCAGGCCCAAAGCTTCAAATCCTGGAGTTAGTTTGATAGCCTTCATCCCAACTCCAACCCCATTTCTTCTCTACACTCACTAACAGCTAGCCACTATCTATACTCTGTCACTCCCTTTCCCTCCTTATAGCCTTAAGCCCCACCTCGGCACTCCACGATGCGGATCTCGATGACTGGGAGATGAACGGTCATGTCCTCCAGGACACATACATCCCCGATCAGGGTCCTGAGGAGATGGATGTGAGGCACTTTGAATACCCCTTGCCTGTAGGGATTGCTGGGCTCTAACCTAACCTTATGCTTCCAAGTGGGGGCAGGCCCCATTACTAGAATCATGCCCCATGTCCCCTCCCAGACCAGCTTGCTCACTCACTCATCAATGCTCACGTCACTCAGCTTCTTCAGGTTGTCCCCTTCGCCTCCATAGATCACTACCCGCTTAGGCATAAAGTTGTCATCTGTGGTATCCACTGTGAGCAGCAGCTTCCTAGGTGGTCAGAGTATACACATAGGTCTTTGTATACTTATAAGCACTTGGCCTGCCCACCCTGTCCTACCTCAGAGCCCACTCACTTGACAATGGTGCCCTTTTTCATGGTAAGCCGTACCCAGTGCTGGCACTGGGAACCATCACTCTCCCAGTAGGTGTCTGCATTACTGTCCGTCAGGCAGGACACATTGAACTCCTCCTAGGGTGGGGCAGAGAGGTGGAGTCAGTGTTTACCCCACTCTCTGCACTGGGAGGTGTGCTTTGGGCCAGGGAGCACAAGAAAAAAAAATACATGGAGCTGGTCAAAAGCACAGTTGGTATGTGTGCAAGTGGGGATTCCTACAGGACTTCCAAAATACAGTGCTGGACTAAGTCTGGCCTGTGGGGTTCAGGTTTGGCCCTGGCTTAGAGGTGAGGGTTCTGGATCTAGCAAGATGGGACATCTTGCTTGGGGTGGGAGGAGTCCCAGCACCCACCGTGTAGGAGGAAACGTCTATGCTCTCCACATACTGCTTCACGCTACCCAGGTTCTCATCTTCCTTGCCCAGGTGGTCGTACAAGAAGTGGATCAGGTCTTCGTCACACTCGTAGGTCCACGTCGGGGGCACATAGCTAAGCAACCCCAAGTCCCTAATTAGGTCAGGTCCAGACCTGCAGATCCTTCCTCCCTATCCCACCCCAGCGCACTCACAGTAGCCTCTGTACAGCTTCCGTGTAAGCCTCGGCTGGCTGGGGCCTTGATCCAAGGCGATGAGAGTATGTCAGGTCCACTACTTGTTCCCATCTGTGGGCACAGAGTAGGGGATGGGATGGGGAGACATCACTGGGCAGAATGACACCCCCAGTGGGCTTTCTCCAGAGCTCAATCTCCACCAATCTAGGCCTCCAGAAGCTTCACCCCAGCTCCATTCAGGTGCCGCCCCTTCCTGCTCTTAACCCGGCCTTCAGTCCACATCCCACCTCCCTCGCTGTGCCACACTTCCTTCCCGGCCTAGGTTATCAGGCATCAAGCTCCGCCCTTTCAAGTGCAGCACCTGAGCACAGGTCGGTAGTCCACGCCAAAGAGCTGCTGCTGCCGCTGAAGATGGTCAGGTGTGTCGATGGGTACGAGGCGGGCCCCGCCCTCGGCCGGTCGGCACACCAGCAGCCAGCCTTCGTTCAGTCCGCAGTCGCCCAGGTGTTCTGCCAGCTGCTCCTGCCAAGAAGCGCAAGATGGGAACAGCCGTCAGGGAACTAACTGCCCAGCGGCCCGCCCTGCCCAGCCCAAGGCAAAGAACACGGAACGCAATGCCAGCTCAATATGGGGGTGGGGAGGAGAACAGCCTGGAGCTTCCCTGGCCCCGGGGTCTTTTGCGGATCCCAGGGCAGGCCTGGGAGTACCTTGGTCAGCTTCACCCAGAGCCCGTGGCCGTTGCACAGCTCCTCTCCGGTAGTACGCACGCAGGCGCCGCGCCGGAGCTCAATGCTGTCGCGGGCAGCGCGGAGGGGCCCGGAGCCGGTACCAGGGGCGGGGCCCGCGGCTCCCACGCGCAGCCCCAGGCCCTCCGCCTCCCACACCGGCAGCAACACGCGCGAGGGTCCCGCCGGGTCCTTGTAAAGCTTGTAGAGCACCTCGCGCGGCACGAAGGCCAACGCCTTTGGTAGCGGCCGTCCGGCGCGGAGGCTCTGCGCTGCCTCCGCCAGGAAGCGCACGCGGCCCAGCAGCTGCCGAGGGGACTCTAGAGCCGCGCCCGGGCCTGGGCCCGCCATGGCGAAACAGCAAAAGGAAAGGCCAGGGGTGGTTGAGCTGCTGAAGCCGCCGCCACGAAGGCTTATCAAGCTTCTCACCACGCTCTGCCCCGCCTTCGGCCAGCCCTTGCCGTAAATTCTGGACTAAGGGCATCCCTCGCACCCGCCGTATTATCCTATGTACCCGGATACTTAATCTTTTTGCAAACCAACGTGCCTCCCACTCAGCCAACCAGACCCAAGTTCAGTAGTCTCCAACCTGATCAGTCTCCCCTTTTTCATCCTTATTGCTGCTACCATTTTATACCCTCATTGAACCACAATCATATCTAGCCTGAATCATTGTAACAGCCGTTTTTCTCGTTCTCTGGCCTCCTGTTTTTGCCTTCCCACACCCAATGAGTCATACTAAAACCAGAAGAATCTTTAAAAATCTTCTAGATATCCTCTCAGGCTCCCCATCCTAGGGGCAGTGTTACAACAACGTTTGGGAGAATAATCCCCTGCTCGACCCTACCAGTGACACGAGTCTTGAGTTGTTCAGGCTTGCTCCTGGTAGTTATTCCTAATCCTAGGACACACAGTTTCTCCCAGTAATCCTGAACCAGAAGAGAAGAAAGGTGCAAGGTGGGAAAGGGACTCCAAGGTGGTTAGATAGGATAGAGGCAAAAAAAAAAAAAAAAAAAAAAAAAAAAAAAAAAAAGAAAGAAAGAAAAAGAAAGATGGACAGGTGTTGAAGTACAACCATGGAGGAAAAGGAAACTTTGTCTTGTGCCCTCCCCTGCAACCAGTTTTACTGAGATATAATTCATACTCCATATAATTTACCCATCTAAAGTGTACAATTCAATGGTTTTTGATATATTAATTTTTAAAATTGTGGCAAGTGTAACAAAATTTTCCATTTTAACCATTTTAAGAGTACCATTATCTATTTTCAAAACGTTTTAATCACTCTAAATAGAAACTCTTTCTCTTTAAGCAATAACTCCTCATGGCCTCCTCTTCCCAGCCCCTGGTAAATTCTAATCTACTTTCTGCCTCTATGAATTAGCCTATTCTAGATATTCTATAGTGGAACCATATAATATTTGTCCTTTTGTATCTGTCTTATTTCACTTAGCATAATATTACAATAATATTGTAGCATGTATCAAAACTTAATGTATTTTTATGGGCTGAATAATATTCCATTATACATATGTGTGTGTGTGTGTGTGTGTGTATATATATATATAGTATATGTGTATATATACACATACATATACACACTACATGTAGCTTATCTATTTATCTGTTCATGGACACTTGGATGGAAACTTTGTTTTAATATAATTTTCAAATAACCAAAGTTATCAAGAAAGAAATAATAAATGACATCATGTAATTTGGTCAGGTTTCCTTTTTTTTTTCCTCCCTAGGAAGTTGGGAATGTAGTGCCCCACTTCCCTTCTCTCCAAGCTATTTGTTTGCTACCACACTACTACAGAATAAAGTGAACAAGAAAATCTCACAAGGGCGCCTGCATGACCTGGACTCTGAAGACATCTCCAGCCTCTTTAATTTCACCACATTAATCTTCTGGTTCCCATAATAGGTATTTGTTCTTTTGCGTCTTCTTCTTTTTTTTCTTTTTTAATTTTTTTAAACGTTTATTTTTGAGAGAGAGAGAGAGAGAGAGAGAGAGAGCACAAGCCAGGGAGGGGTAGAGAGAGGGGGAAACACAGAATCCCAAGCAGGCTCCAGGCTCTGAGCTGCCAGCACAGAGCCCGAGGTGGGGCTTGAACTCCTGAACCGTGAGATCATGACCTGAGCTGAAGTCGGACACCTAACCGACTGAGCCATCCAGGCGCCCCTTTTGCGTCTTCTTTTTGCACATGCTGTTCCTTCTGCCTGGAATACCCCCACTGCTTTCCCCAGCTAAGCGAGGAGCTTTTGCTGGCTGCTTCTAGCTTTTTCCTCATAAAACATTTACTATTATGCTTGCCAATTCTGTTTCCCCACCAGTCTGTAGCTTCCTAAAGGAAGGGGCTGTCTTGGTCACCACTGTAACCTCCGCATCTATTATACTGCCCGCCTCTTAGTAGGTTATATAAATATTTAATGATTTCATTTCCCCGGATGGCTTGGTTCTGTAACCGACGGTGTGCCTAGTCATTACGCATAAGATTGTTAGAATCATTGAGCGTGGGAGTAAAAGTGAATCTTGGGCTGAACCTTCGGGATTACCAGGGCATCCTGGTAACACCTCCTCACCATCTCCTCATCAGAGGAGAGGAAACTGCTGATGCCAAGGTAAGGTGTAGTTATAGCGAGGTTCTTGGGGGTGGGGTGGGCGTGGGGCGGCGTTTGTTGCTGCGTCGCTACAGCGGACTTTACGGTGACGGAGGTAGGGTGGTCCTACAGGCAGCAGCCGGGACAGCCCGGGAGCTGTTGCTGGAGTCTGATCATGTGACTTTCAACATGGCTACGGCCCTGGTTCATTCCAGGAAGGGGTGGAGCCTGATCTCAGAGCAGGTTCCAGTTCAGTTTAAAGTGCGGACTGTGCTTGCAGTCGCTGACAGCTTATCATGGAGGCTAACGGGTTGGGGTGAGTTCCCTGCACCACGAGGTGTGGCCAGTGTGGCTTCTGACCTGAGTCTTCCAACTCAGAAATCTGCCGCTATATCCCTCTTCCTCCGCCCTGGAGAGCTCCCAAACCGAACTCAAGTCGCTGGAATCCCGAATCCTCCACCCATGGATTCCCGAGACTTTCATTTAGGGGATGTCCCCAGGACTTTCTAATCCTCAATTAAGATCCGTATTTCGGCACCGTCTACTCTGATTTCTCCTTGACAGTCCCTCAGCCCGGGGATCCATAAGCTCCGGAACCAGCCCATAGGTACCCCAGTTCCTGAGATTTTTCTGGTCCAGAGACCCTAATCAAGCCTTACTGAGCTTTCCTTCCCCCCTCTCCCCAGTCTTTCTAGTGGCTTTGGCTTTGAGCTGGGGGGAGTTGGGACTGTGTAAAATAGAGGCCCCAGCGCGGGCCCTTCTAGTCTTGTGCACCATCTGATAGGCAAAAAAGAGGCGGAATGGGTGGGGAGCCACAGTTTAGGAACTGGCCTGGAGAAGGCAGATAGTGGTGTTGGAATGAATTCGCCTTAAGAACCCAGGCCTTTCCCAACCCCCAATCTAGTTTACTGACACCTACCCCCACCCCCTCCTGATCTCCAGATCCCAGGGTTTTCCAGAGCTGAAGAATGACACGTTCCTGCGAGCAGCATGGGGAGAAGACACAGATTACACTCCCGTTTGGTGCATGCGGCAGGCAGGCCGCTACTTACCAGGTCAGGGTCAGAGCTTGGGAGTCTAGGTGAAACTCTGGAGGGTGAAGTTTTTTGAGGGGCAGGGGAGGGGTTCAGAGGTTCCTCAAGGTGGAGCCCTGCCTTCCCTCTTCTGTTTGCAGAGTTTAGGGAAACTAGGGCTGCCCAGGACTTTTTCAGCACCTGTCGCTCCCCAGAGGCCTGCTGTGAATTGACTTTGCAGGTGAGAACTCCACAAAAAAGGGAGGAATTTATGCCCTCTGCTTGCCTCCTAGTAACCTGTCTTCTATTTCCTACAGCCACTGCGTCGCTTCCCTTTGGATGCTGCCATCATCTTCTCTGACATCCTTGTTGTACCCCAGGTACCTGCTCAAACCTGATGAGTAAGAAAGGGTAAAGATAGTCAAAGCTCAAGATAAGCACTTATCTTCACCTAACAGGGAAAAACTTGGGCCGAAAGATGGAGTGTGGCTGAGTTTCATTCTCCTTTTCCTCCTTCTTGGCATGGGCTAAACAGCCTTTCCTTCTAGAGTTACAGGTTGGGAATCCAGATATTTTCTCCCCCTCCAGGCACTGGGCATGGAGGTGACTATGGTGCCTGGCAAAGGGCCTAGCTTCCCAGAGCCATTAAGAGAAGAGCGGGACTTAGAACACCTCCGGGATCCAGCAACAGTGGCCTCTGAGCTGGGCTATGTGTTCCAGGCCATCACCCTCACTCGACAACAGCTAGCTGGGCGTGTGCCGCTGATTGGCTTTGCTGGTGCCCCGGTAATGTGGAACATGGCAGGGACTTGGGCATGGGAAAATCACTCTGGAGGGTCTAGTGTACACAAGGGAAGGAAGTATCAGTCTGGCTTTTACACCTGTGACATTCTCTTTGTATCCTTTTGCAGTGGACTTTGATGACATACATGGTTGAGGGTGGCAGCTCAAGCACCATGGCTCAGGCCAAGCGCTGGCTTTACCAGAGACCGCAGGCTAGTCACAAGTTGCTTCGCATCCTCACTGATGCTCTGGTCCCATATCTGGTAGGACAAGTGGCTGCTGGTGCCCAGGTGGGTCCTGAGGGAGAGAAATAGGCTGGGGTCTAGAAGGAAAAGAAGCAGCAGAGTTTCCTACATCTGAGAGGATAAGTGTCTTAATGCCAGGCATGAAAGAAGCTTGGCCTGCAGTGATTTGGCTGGCGCAGCTAAGCCCACCTTGATGTTGACATTGGCAATGCTGTATGTGTTAAAAAACCAAAGTTAGCACTGGGATCTAAAGAAGGCAAAACTTTTTGAATGGAACTGGGTTTATAGGCTTAGGCAGTATGAGGGTCTGAAGTCACTAGGGAAAAATTGAGATACTTTCTGTGTGTGAGGCCTGAGATTCTTCCTCTTTGTGTGTTAGATATTTCTCTTTACTACCTCCCAACTGTAGGCATTGCAGCTCTTTGAGTCCCATGCAGGGCATCTTGGCCCACAACTCTTCAATAAATTTGCACTGCCCTATATCCGTGATGTGGCTAAGCGCGTGAAGGCCAGGCTGCAGGAGTCAGGCCTGGCACCAGTGCCCATGGTAAGGATGGGGAAAGAGTAAGTGAAGGTGGGCCTGTGGAACTTTCAGGGTATTTCCTGCATGGACTGAAGTGACCACTAGAGGGCAGCAGAGGCGCAGCCAAGATAGATTAGCGGGCATAGCAAGGTCCTTTTGTAGCCTCAGAGGTCTGCCCTTTTCCAGATCATCTTTGCTAAAGATGGACATTTTGCCCTGGAAGAGCTGGCCCAAGCTGGCTACGAGGTGGTTGGGCTTGACTGGACAGTGGCCCCAGAGAAAGCCCGGTGAGTGATGGTGGGTGAGGTGGAGAGGGTGCAGCTGCCATGTGTGCAATCACCAGAACGTGGCACTGACTCTGCTTTCAGGGAACGTGTGGGGAAGACGGTGACCTTGCAGGGCAACCTGGACCCCTGTGCCCTGTATGCATCTGAGGTATCAATCCGAGTTCCTGTGTATGTCTGTGAGTTTGTGTACTCCCATGGTTGTGGATATGGTTGTGTGTATTACTGTGTGTTTGTGTCTTTATTATATCTGTTTGTCCCTCTAAGTGAGCTCTAGTAAAGCAGGATTTTTTTTTTTTTTATAATTGTTCATTTGTGTTGTCTTAGGGCCTGGCCCATATTAAGCATCCAGTAGACTTTTTTGAGTGAATGATTGAATGAGTAACACTTAGTAGAAGCATGTCTACATGTGTATGTGTCACTATTATGTATAGTGAGTGTAGGGTTTGCTGGCCCCCCTGTAGCCAGTGCCCTGTTGGTCCCCCAGGAGGAGATTGGACGGCTGGTGCAGCAGATGCTGAATGACTTTGGGCCACAGCGCTACATTGCCAACCTGGGCCATGGACTTTACCCTGACATGGACCCAGAACATGTGGGGGCCTTTGTGGATGCCGTGCACAGATACTCACGTCTGCTTCGACAGAACTGAGCATACATGTTTTCCCTCAACTGCCACTAACAAAGATGATTGATTGTTTCCAGGAGAATAAAAGTTCAGAGTTGGAGTCTAGCGTGTACTTTCATTTGTGAAAGATCTTTGCCCTTATCCTCAGTTCCTTCTTAGCCTCTGCTCCTTCCTGGATGCCCCTTTCTGCATCCTCTCCACAAGTCATAGGAGCTTAGATGTCAGTGAATATGTACTGTAGGATTTAATGTCAGCGCTCTCACCACCATCATGCTCTCAGCTCTCCAAGCATGAAAGCTAAATGGGGTTGGGTAAAGCTTCCTGGCAGCTGAAGCTGTGACATTTGCAGAGAAATGGGGTCCCACAGCATACACAGCCAGATTTATAGGGATTTGTGTCTGAAAGGGAGGGGAGTGTATATCAGAGAGGAGCATAAAATTGGCTAGAATATTTCAGAGAGGCCTGTTGAGGAAGATGGAATTTAGGTAAGCAGGGAGAAACTGAGAGGCCTTCAGCTTTGACACCAAAATATGGGGGAGGACATAAAGACTCAAAACTAGGATGCTTAGGATTAAAGATTTAGACTTACATCTTTAAGGTGAGAAGGTCTCTGAGGCCAAAAGGCCCTATGGTGCTCAGGGTTGCTCTGCATTCTTTTCTGAGCATACAATCTAATTTTCTCAGGACCTTGGTGTTTCTTTTTTATTTATTTATTTATTTTTTTAATGTTTATTTATTTTTGAGACAGGAGAGAGCATGAACGGGGGAGGGTCAGAGAGAGAGGGAGACACAGAATCGGAAGCAGGCTCCAGGCTCTGAGCAGTCCGCACAGAGCCCGACGCGGGGTTCGAACTCACGGACCGCAAAATCGTGACCTGAGCCGAAGTCGGACGCTTAACCGACTGAGCTACCCAGGCGCCCCAGGACCTTGGTGTTTCTACCCATCATGGTGGTACCTACCTCATGGGACAAGGTCTGAGGTACCTGTGGACACTGGAGAGGGGTGTGGTATGGCAGGAAACTCTTCGTTTGTCATTCTCCCTCACCTTAAACTACTAGGAACCCACTGCACTATCAGCCCAACCAATTCCTTGTCCCAGCCAGGGGCAATGCAGAAGAGAGAAAAGGGCCCATTTATTGAGAGAACACAATTTCTGATTTTAGAAAAATGATATTTTCTGTGATCCATGATTTATTCATAGAAAAGCACTGTGAGTTCACACACTTGCTAAAAAAAACGGCAATCGTGATACGTGATACAGAAATGGGAGTGTCTTCTTTTTTGAAACCAACCTATTGGGGCTGAGAGGTTGTAGGGGCCCATGGCTGGACAGTAAGACTTAAGTAGCCACAAACAGTGAAAACAACTTACTGGTTAGTGTGGAGAAAAAAGAGACACAGTTTGTCAAAGAAGAACATAAAGCAGACAGGTCCTTAGTTCACATTCTACCTATACCACCCCTTTCCTATCGTCCCCCCACCCCCAACTCGGGAACTAAAACGTGAAAAACAGTAAACACCAAGACACTGGCATCCAAATGACTCTTCTGAAAGCCCTCGCTACCTCCTATAACAATTCCAGGCTGAGCACAGGGGTCAGGAAGGTAGTAGGAACATGGTACACTGTGGACGTCAGCTAGGGCTAAGACAGGCATTGCCCACTAGGGGTAGAAACTACTCAGAAAGGGAAAGGCCAAATGCGTTCCAGCCCCAGCCTCCAAAACAGTGACCAATGGGCAGGCAGAGGAAGCTTGAGGTAGAAAGGCAAGGGAAGAAAGCAAGTATAGGGCAAGAAAGGAACTGGAGCTAAAGGAGCCCCTCTTGGGGTAGAAGGAGACTAGTGCTTAGAAGCTTGTTTGGTGAGAGAATGGTGAGTAAGGGAGGCAAAGAGATGGGGAACGTGTTTAGCTGGTGGGAGAGGTGACGAGGAATGGGGAAGAGAGATCTGGCAAAAAGAAAAGGAACACATTCATGCAGATCCTCCAACAAATTCACAGACATACTTGCATGTCAAAATACACATAGGTACACGTATAAAGACACACCAATGGAGAGCAAGCATACAAACATGTTTTTACACATGCATCTGTGTATGCACCCCCCACTAAATGTGCACTGACAAACATGAACACACAGGTATGTATTCTTACGTGTTGACAAATGTGTATACCCTCACACAGAAACCTACAGTCCAGCACACAGATATGTACTCACATGTACACACACAACTGACATACACATAAATATATATGCACAGACAGGTATGCACAGATCTATCTACACACACAGATACATGTACTTAGCCATACAGATACATACACACGCATACATAACTAGAGATAAAACCAGATACTCTCTAACACAAAGATGACCAGAGTAGATACATATGAGTATGAGCTCAGTGGCCTCCCAGACCTTCACTCTCCCCTTGAACTTGTTTCTCAGAGCTCAACAGGCTCCTAGAGAACCTGTGTGGAGCAGGAGCAAGAGCTTCACTGTTCTCATGGCTTCATGAGGCAAGAGTCTAAGTCCAGTCCTGGCCCTGCCCCTCTCCCACTACTGGGCTATAGATGACCCGTGTCTGCAGGCTGGGTTTCTGCATAGACTGGACCCGGGATTTATTATAACTGGCCATTGTTCTCCCTGCCACCCCTACTCTTCCTCTGCAAACAGTATATACTCTGCAAGGGAAACCTGAGAAATGGTTGTGAGTCTCCTCAGAAAACAAGCCTATCTTCCCACCCACAGCTACTTCAAGTACCCATCAAATTAGAACCAGAATTATAAATAGTTACAACTTTACAATGTAATTGGCAACACATATACTATAGTATTTACAGTACCATAAATGCTTCTGTTTCTCTGGTTAAGCAATCCCTGAGACGGAACAGTGTTCTGTGTTTGCCAAGGGAGAGTGGGCCAATGCCCAGGACACGCAGGATATAGGGGCGTGAGGTGGCATGTTGTGGGGTTTCTGATTGATCTGCAGGGCCCAGTTCCTTCAGGAACAGTGGGCTGTAGTGAGAACCTTGCCAAGGAAGGCATATTGGCTAGAGTTGGACTTTCCCATGCTTAGCCCTGTGGTCCTCTGGCTTCAGCCACAGGTGCTCAGAGTCCTCTCAGGGTGGACAAATGTTTTGGTGTCCTTGGCCTGACCTGTGGTACTTGGGAGCCCAGGCTGCCCTGGCAGTGAACTGTCTGCTTTCTCAGCCAAAGCGCTCTCGTACCAGCAGCATCAGCTTCTTCTTGCCTTTGTAGATTTGTTTGAGGTTGTCGATGAATTGGGCAAACTGCAGGTGGCCATCCTGGGGCAGCAGGAAGGTCTCCCGAGCTTTGCTCAGAAACTCAATGAACTCTCCGTAGTGGCGAGGGCTGATGTGTGTCAGGCGTGAGTGTGTAGTGTTGATATAGGCATTGATGGTGGCGTCCAGCAGCTGGCGGAGTGGAGCTTTGTCAGTGGACATGAGCTTTCCAGAGCTGCGGCGGCCTGGGATACCAGCCAGGCCAGGTGCAGTCACTGTGCAACGCCGCAAGATGTCTGAAAGCACTGTGGCACAGTGCACACTCTTCACCACAAGGGGAATGAGGGCCGCCAGCTCATTCTTGCCCAGAGAGTGGCTGAGGGCACACGCCCAGAGCACATCATTGATGGCCGGATGGGTATCCTGGTTGTAGGCCAGGTTGAGATGGCTCATGGCCAGAGAGGCCAATTTGAAGGCACGTAGCGGGTAGCCACGGAGCTCCATGTAGCGAGCAATGGTGAATAGTTGTGAATGCGTCATGCCACCAGTGGCAGCATCAATGGCGATCTGGTAGGCTGCCTCAAAGGCGATGTGGTCTTTCTCACAGAGTGTAAGGGCTGACAGGGCACAGCTCTGTGGATCCTTCATGGCACACTGTAGAGCCAGCGTGCGAGCACAGCTAGCTAGCTCCTCCCGCTGTGGATAGTCAAGACTGAGGCGCAGGATAGTGGTGTGGGATACAGCTGTGGCAGCCACAATGCTAGTAGCCTCAGTGGGAGTGAAGAGTGTGTACCAGCTCTGCAAAATGCTCACCAAGGCCCGCACACCTGTCAGGGAGAGCCTGAGCTCAGCCGTGGCCATCCAGGTCTCCATCCAGGTCTGCCCAGATTACCATCTGGGGTCAGAACTTGGCCTGCAGAGATGAGTTCTCCCTTTTCCTCAGTAGCCTTGAGATGATCTGAGGCAAACTAGGGAGCATCCCAGATGGCCAGACCCTGTTTGGGGTCTCTTCCCATCCCTTCCTTCCCCAAGTCAGAGGGTTGAAGATTTCTGCAGGTGCTCTTAGCGCCTCACAAGGATGGAGCAACAGAGCCTGTAGTCTACCTGTCCCAATGCAGGGGTTGCAGATCTGCCTGGGGGCTCTGGCTGCAGAGGGGCCTCTCAGGGTATAGTCTTATGCTGGGACATTGGGCTCTAAACGGGGGCCTGAGCCTCCAAGTTGCCTGAGGTTTTCAGAGGCATAGACAGGGACTGGGACCAAACCACTGGGCCAACTACCGCCCAAGGGTGCACTTACATACTGGTGGCTGAAAATTCAATCTCTCATACATGTCTCTGATCAGAGGGTCAAAGTGCTGCTGACATCAGGGTATGTCTAAGCAGTGAGGGCAGAGCTTGGGCTAGCTAAACAAAGGCCATATTTCCTACCACCAGCCCCATCAGTAATAGGAATATGAGAGCTCTAAGTATTTGCTGTCTTGTCCCAAGAGTAGGGCCTAGGAGCTCCTGTCCCCTGGGGGTAGAGGGAGGTGGGAGACTCACCCACTTCTGTAGCACATGTTACCAACCACCGCACCATCTCCCGGCGCCTCCAGTTAAGAGTTGATAAGGTCATCCTCATCACCTGGGCAAAAAAGAGGCATTTCCAGTGGGCTAAGCTTAACTGTTAGGCCCTCTACATCCCCACATCCCCTTGCCATTCATTTATGCAACAAGTATTTATTAGTGCTTTAAGCAGCCATCTCTCTCCTGATAAGTAGACAGGTTTAATTTCTGCCCCACCCCTCCCACCAATCAGATAGAAGGCTTCTCTGATGACCTATAACAAATAAAGTCCTTATTATCACACCTTGCTTGATTTGACTTGGAGGGATAAGGAGGGGGTGGGGAGAAGATGGGGACCCTATGGAGCCTAAAGCTACATTTCTTCTGGCCTCAACTTCAAAATGGAGCCCAATTTAGAGAGTCTTCACCTAGAGGTCTAGCCTAAAAGTTGTGCTCTGGGGACACAGAAAGAACTGGACTTGGCCCATGCCCAGTGCCTCTGGGATCTTATCTTTACCATTTATCACAAGGCCAGAAGCCTAAAGTGAGGATGACCCACTCCTCCTCCATACCTGTAACCCCAGCTCCAGAGCCACGTTGAGCAGGGTGCTGTCAGTACTACTGTCTGTGGGAGTAGCAATCTTGAATGCATCTTGGGCCAGTTTGAAGATGAGGGAGGAAGAATGGATGTGCTTCTGTATTGCTTCCAGAATTGTCCGGAGCCTCAGAGTGTCCCCTATAGGTGCCGAGAGATGGGACAGTGACAGGTCTTCTTTAAAGTCTCCCTGAGTCTACTGATCACATAGGTACTGGCTGAATTGGCTACTATCAATTCACTGAATGCTTCTGAATACTACCGTCTCTTTTGGGTAGACATGCTATGTCTCCACTAAACCCACTGGAGACTGCTTCCTTCACCAGGCCCCTGCATGAATTCACTTTTCTCTACCTTTTCATCTGTCTCTATCCCTCACCTTTTCCCCTCAGTCTCCTTAGGTCCCAGAAATAATTTTTACGAACACCTGACTTTTGAGAGCTGCTTATATAGGAGATAGGAAGCCGCATTATTGTCAGAAAAGTATGCTAGTTCCATTGTTTGCTTCCCACTGCAGCTCCCTGGAGCAAAAAGGAGCTGGGCCACCACTTCTTATTCAGCAGGCAAGGATTCTATACAAAGTACTAGTGCAGAGACTTAAGAAATATACCACAGGAAGGGCATGTATACCATATGAAGTGAAAGTCACTGTATGAAGGTAGTATAGTATATGAAAGATCGGTGTATCTTACGAAGGAGTAAAATGTGAAGTAAAGATAGAACAAAAAGTAGGTCTTATGTCTGACAAAGAGGTGTAGTGGTAAGAGCATATAGGCTTTGGAATGAAATACATTGGGAATTGAACCTAGTTCAGCCACTTACTAGCTCAGTTTCTTTATCCATAAAACAGAAATAATAACCTTTAGGGTTGTTGTGAGAATTATAAGCAACCTGTATATAGTTAATATTCTATGATCCTACTTTTGTAAAAAAAAAAAAAGTAGTAGTAGTAGTGTATGTGTGTGCATATAAATGATTAGAAAATCTCCAGAAATATTTGTACCAATGTCTTAGTAGTAGTTATCTTTCGATGTCAGAATTATGGGAGAGAGTACTTTTTTTCCTTCTGTCATCTTTAAAAGCAATTTTTAAAATTAAAAGACTTCATATTTAGGCAGTTTTAGGTTTGCAGAAAATTGAGCAGATAGTACAGTAAAGTACACTTCTTACACACTCCTATCCCCATTTCTCATTTCCCCTATTATTAATGTCTTACATTAGTGTGGTACATTTGATGAACCTACATTGACATATTGTTATCATTTGAAGACCATGGTTTATATTAGGCTTCACTAAGATATACAGTTCTCTGGGTTTTAACAAAGGCATGGTATCATGGGCCCATCATTACTGTACAGAATAGATTCATTGCTCTAAAAATCTCCTGTGTTCTACCTTTTCGTCCCTCTCCTCATTCCCCCTAAGAATACTGATCTTTTTTTTTAAAATTGTCTCTATAATTTTACCTTTTCCACAATGTCATATACTTGGAACCACAGTATGTAACCTTTGAGAGTGGCTTCCACCAACCAGTCTTAAGAACCTTAAGAACACTTAAGGTTCCTCCATTTCTTTTTGTGTCTTGATAGCTAACTTCTTTTTATTGGTAAATAATATTGCATTGTATGAGATGTAGGTTTATCCATTTACCTTTTGAAGGACATTTTGGTTGCTTCTAGTTTTTGGCAATTACATATATAGCTGCTATAAACATTTGTATGCAAGTTTTTATGCGGACATAAGTTTCCAATTCATTTGGTAAAATACCTAGGAGCATGATTGCTGGATCAGATGGCAAGACTATGTTTAGCTTTGTAAAAAACTGTCAAATGGTCTTCCACAGTGGCTGCACCTTTTGCATTCCCACAAGCAATGAGAGTTCCTGTTGCTCCACATCCTTACTAGTATTTGGTATTGTCAATGTTTTGGATTTTAGCCATTCTAATAGGTATGCAGTGGTATCTCCTTTTTGTTTTAATTTTCATTTTCCCAATGACATGTGATACTGAGCATCTTTTCATATGCTTGTCATCTCTGTATCTTCTTTCATGAGGCACCTGTTCAGGTCTTTTGCCTTTTTTTTTTTTTTTAAGTGTTTTTAATGTTTATTTTTGAGAGACAGAGAGACAGAGGACAAGCTGGGGAAGGACAGAGAGAGATGTAGACACAGAATCTGAAGCAGGCTTTAGGTTCCCAGCTGTCAGCACAGAGCCCGAGGCGGGACTCCAACTCATGAGCCATGAGATCATGACCTGAGCTGAAGTTGGACACTTAACCAGCTGAGCCCCAGTCTTTTGCCCATTTTTAAATTCAGTTGTTTGTCTTCTTATTATTGAGTTTTAAGAGTTATGTATTTGCAATATGAGGTTTTTTTTT